TGCCAAGTCACCTTGGAGCTCAGGGGCTTTGACCTTCACCCAGCAAAGCATGAATGGCCCAGGCTTTGATGAAGGTGCTGGGAGTAGAAACCCTGAGGTAGCAGCACAAATTAGTCACTTACAAATTCATTCAAGATTCTCTTACTTAAAATCTGTTGATGGCTTACTTCCCACAGCTCTAAGAAGGCAGCCAAATTTCCTTCAGGCTCTTTTGCAGTCCTACAGGCTCTGGCCTTAGGTGGGAACTTAGCATGCCCACTTCTTATCCCGTCGGATATGGCCTCCCTACAATTGCATTTGTTCATCAAGATCACTCCTGCCTCAGGACCCTTGCATTTGTCGTTTCCGCTCAGAGAATGCTCTTCCATGCGCTGCGGGTGCAGGCTCCTTCCTTCTCTTTAGTTATTTGTTCAGACAGGCCGCTCACTCACAGCTAAATCCATCACTACACCTGCCGAATTTCTTCCTAGTACTTCGTTCTCTCTAAAATGATCTTCGTTATGGACCTGACCATTGTTGGCTGTGTCTCCCCCACACACAATGCCAGCTTCTTGACAAGCAGAGGGCCTCATTGCTTCGGTACCCAACAAGATGCCACGTGTGCAGTGAATACATCTCATATCTAATTTGAGGAAATTTGAGACTGATTCTCAAACCAAAGAAATGGCCACAGGTGAGGGCTAGTGGTGGAATGAAAGTGGAGGTGTGGCCCAAGACTTGAGTCCAAATTCTCTGCGACCAAGTTCTGATGCCTTCCCCAGGCTCTTTGGGCTGCACCTTCAGCCCATCCACCAAGCCCCAGCCCCCAGACGGACATGGGGCATGCAATGGAGCGCGCGGGCGGCAGGGGGCGCTGTCGGGGCGCGAACGGCCCACCTGGCACCCGAGGCCACGAGCGAGAGCTGCCTGGCCGCCCGGGAACTTTTTTCCTCGCGCTCTCGCTCTCCTGCTCCCCCCCGCACGTCGCCCGCCCGCCGCTCTTCCTGTGTGGAGGGGATCGCATTTCTCTCAGGCTCCCGCGGGCACCAGGCAGGCCCGGCAGGGTGCGCGGTCAGGGCCCGCTACGCGCGCCGCCGGCTCGGGGCGTCCTGGTGCCGCCCCCGCTCGCGCCTGGGCTCGGACAGGCCGCTCTCAGAGCCAGGCGGCGGCGGCGAGGGCAGCTGGCAGCCCGCCGTGTCGCGGTCCGAGGAGGGGGCGCCGAGGCCCACCCTCCTTCCCGCCTGGTCGGCCGCGGCGCCCGACACCCATGGGCGCGCGGGCCTCCGGGCCGCGAAGTCACAGCGCCGGACGCCGGGCCCCGGAGTGAGAGCGGGTGCCGAGGTGAGCCGGGCGTCCGACGCGGGGACAAGGACTTGGGCGGGGGGCGGTGCGAGGCGTAGGGACCCAGCGGGCAGAGGTCCGGGCGGGAGCAGGGGGCGAGCGCGAGTGGGGCGCGGACGCGGGGTCGCGCGGCCTGGCTTTGTGTGGCGCCGGTGTGAGGCCGCCGGTGGCCGTGTAGGGGCTGCAGGAGGGTGTTTTGGGTTGTCTGTGGCCGGCTGGGAGCGAGCGCTGGGAGCCGAGGCCCAGTGTCACCAAGTGTGGGGCGGGGACGTGGGGCGGCGCGGCGCGGGCCCGAGGAAGCTTTGTGAGTGCGTTCTGGGTGGGGACGAGGAGCCAGCGTCTCGGTGTGTAGCCCGTTCTCGGGTGTCCGGGCTGCGAGGGCCGCTCGTGGCGACACAGGACATGGCACTCGCCGCGTGTCCCCGCCCGGGCCTGTGTGCAGGCCCCGCGTTGAGCAGGAAGCGGTCCCCGCCACCCGGGAGCTCCGTCGCGGCCAGGCCCGGAGCGCACGGGCCTTTCGGGGTGACGCCACCGGCTGAAGCCCGGGACACGCAAGCCTGGTGCTCTCCCGAAAGCGGCGAGGCAGCCAGGCCCGCGGGCCCTTTCGAGGCGGGTCCCATGCCTTTAGAGGCAAGGGGACCTCTGGGGACTCCGGACCGAGCGCGGCAGGGGCGAGGACTTGGCAGGGCTCGGGGGTGACATTTGGAGCTTTGGTCGCAATTGGAGGCCTTCAAGGAGGGGCAGAGAGGAAGCGAAACACAAGGCAGGTTCCAGGTCGTGACGGCCCCAGCTTCCTGGGGCTCCCGTTTTCCCAGCGACCCGCTCCTTTTGGGGCTCTCAGGCGCTCATTCACACAGCAGGGCGGCAGTGAGGCCAGAAGCTCTGCCTTCGTCCGGAGAACCCTGGACCTGGGGGCTCTGAATGGATTAAACCCAAGCGTAATAACGCTCCTGAGGACTGGGGACGGGAGACTGCCTGCCTGCATGGCTAACCCAGGCCGGCGCTTCCCAGCCCACCGCACGCACTCCCGCAGCGCCTGTGTCGCGGTTCTAGCGGGCCCCGCGCCCCCCTCCCCACCTCCCACCCCCCTTTCCAACGGCAGTGCTGTGTTGAGAATTCAAGGGCATTACATCTGGTTGCAATCTAGTTTCATGCGGCTGCTGGGCTGTTAAGACCTCGCGCTGACGTCAGAGCAGGGGAATTACTTCTTTTTATTTTATCTTTTTTTAGTTGTCTGCTGCCCTGGGAGGGGAGGCGGGTGGAGAGTGGGGCCAGGCAAGCTGTGATGTGGAGGCGCCAGCGCGATGGGAGCCCAGATCTGGGAGCTCTGCTTCCTAGCCTATCCGCCTTCTCCTCCCCCATCCATTCTCCACACGCTCCTCTCTCAGCTCCAGTCAGGCTCGGCTTGGGGGCAGTGGAGTGGAGGCCCTTCCTGGCTGACTACACAGCTGTTTCCAGAGGTTTCTCTGGGACGTGGCCCTTGGGATCTGGAAGCTAAAGAGTAATCTAGTTTCCCACCCCTCCTCCCAACACCCCAGAGGGTATGTGGGGCCCAAGAACAAGGCATAGACACCGCCATCCTAGTCCCAAGGCAACCTCCCCAGAAGTCTGACCAGACTCTGGTCACAGTCATTCCTTGGAGAGAGTGTTTGGGGTGATTGAGATTTCAGAAGCCATCTTAGGAGGGAACAAAATTCCACTTTCCCTGACAATCAGGCACCCGTTTGACTTCTGCAGAGGGGCCTCCAGCATCAGAAGTGTCTTTATCCCACTGGTCCATGAGACCTCTGCACGCTGGGGCCCTTATTCCCTTTTAGGCCCCAAATATAGACTATTGGTTTTAAAAGCCCTACTCATGATAAGATCCTGCTATGCACAAAAACAACAAAACAAAATGACACGCGCAGAGCACTTTTTACGTCACAGTATTGTTTCCTACTCACAATGTATAGCAAAAACAGAAGCTTAGTGAATGACCCTTCTACTGCCTGTGCTAGACTCTGACATTTTTTGTTCTAGTCTATTTGATTAGAAAAACGACTGGTTGTAACCCACTAAATCAGTGTTTCACAGCCACCGATGGATCACATCAAATTTGAAAAAACAGGCTATATATTCCCTCAACAAACAGCAATTGAGACCCTACAATTGCTCAAGTAATATTAGAGAGGTTCTCACTGAGAAAAATGCTGATAGCAAAAAGTGTAGAATGAAAGACCCTCAGCTCAGGTGGCCACTGTGAGCTTGAGTGTATCCTTCCAGCCTCTGCTTCTCAGTGTGTGCAAGACTTTATGTACATAGTTTCATTTTTTTCCCACATGAAAACATCCCCAGGGCTCTTATTCTACAACCCTGGTTTCTTCTCTGCATGGAAGGGGTGTGAGTGAGGTGCTTCATGGCTGGACTCTGGATTGATTCCTGACTCCAGCATCTGCTGGGGGGGGGTTATCACTCTGGGCCTCAGTGTCTCCATCTGTACAATGGAAATCCTGGTGCTGACTACAGCTGTAGGTATCCATAGATGGTTAGTTCAGTGATTCTGAGAAAGGCCAGCTGTTGTGTCTGCACTGCTGCCATGACTGTTCTTCTGTGCACATAGTTGTCCTTTTTGCTGCAACCAGCTGCCTGGGCTGTGGTATGTTTGTGGCTCCCAGGAAGGAGGAGCTTTGTGCATTGGTACCAATGCCCTCAGACCAGGGTTCTCTTTGGGAAGACTGTTGATGCCAGGACCCAGAGAATATGGATTGTCCAAAGACTTACTGTTTTCCAAGCCATGTTAGGGTCTAAGCATGAAACGTTCCCCAGAAGGTTACTACCCAGTAACAGGTGTGTAGACCTAGGTAACAACCAAGACCTTCATGGAAGACTGGGTTTTGAGCAGGTGATATACTGGGCATGGGTAGAGGAGAGGGGGCCATGCAGCTGCTCCTGGACACTTGACTCAGGGGAAACGGTGAAGGAACCATTGTGCCAGGGCTTCCTTGTTAGCCTCCCTCTCACCTCCCAGGTGAGATTGGAGTGATCTTTCCAAACCCCAGCAGCTACCCTTGAAGTCTCCTTTTGATTTCTGAACAGAGGCGAACCTGGAACCCTTCACATGCTCCCAGGGTCCTCTCTGGCGTCCTCTGCTCTGTCCCTGCGCACTACCTTCCTTTCAGCTCAGCTGTTTTCATGCCAGCCTCTTGAGTTTGCCTGGGCTGCCCTTTCCACCTGGGTGCCCTTCATCTGCCTCCCAAGACCCAAACAGACATCCTGTCTCCTCCTCCTGACCTCCAAGAGAATGAGTCATCGCTCTTTGTCTGTGTCAGTGGCCCAGCGTGGATTTCTGAATGATATAGGACCTTCTGCCTTCTTCATGAGGCTAGAGAGGCTAGAGCAGCTGAATCTCAGTGACTCCTCAGGGCCCACAGCCAGGGGTGGGGACTAGAACTCAGATGCCTAGGAATGCTTCCTGGTAGGGGCCCCAGGTGAAGTGCAGAGAGAGGATAGGAACCACAGCCACTCAGAGGCCCCTTTGATCCTTGGCTGGGGCCTGTTCTCTGTGAAGAAGTGTGTGTGAGAGAGAGAGAGAGAGAGAGAGAGAGAGAGAGAGAGAGAGAGAGAGAGAGAGAGAGAGAGAGAGAGAGAGAGACAGAGACAGAGACAGAGACAGAGACAGAGACAGAGACAGAGAGCGCCCAGTTGTCCTTGTCCCCCCCTCCCCAACAGGGGGCTGGAAGAAACTGGCTCATCCTGTTTCTCCAAGAATGAGGGTGAGCTGTGCCCCTTTCCGGTGGGTCACTGAAGACCCAAGATTGGAATGTGACACCAGGGAGGGGAAGGCCACAGGAGGTACAGGCTGAGGCTGGGCTGCCAAAAAAACAAGAGTTTGTTCTGGTTCTGGAGCCCTTCAAATAGGGGGCAGGGGTGGGAAAGACAGAGATAGGCAGAGAGGCATGTGCAGGGTTCAAAGTGTGCAGGGGTGAGGGTTATCTTAGGAACAGAGAGTGGGACAGAGGGGAATATATGGGAATGTAAGAGGTGTTCTTGCTACAGATTCATAGGCTTATGTTTGGGAGAGAAAGCAGTCAGGGCTTTGCTACATCAGGCATTCCCTTCATTAGTTCATTGGTTCTTTGAGCATCATTTCTGTGTGTATACTGAACAAACCAGTGTTAGTCTTCAAGGCCCTGGATCTGTTGGCACTGGGTAGACAGTCAACAAATGCCCATTTTTGCACAGTAGCCTGACTGGATGGTCCTGTGAAGAGGAGAAATGGCTGCACCAGGGCCCAGGATGGGGAAGTGGTATGCCAGAGCCCAGAATAGGGATGTGGTGTATCATTGCCTGGGAGACGTGGGTGAGATGCTGGAATCAGCCAGGAATTATTTCCCCTTGTTCTCTGGACTCAATGCTATCAGTGTCGACACAGGGTAGACTGTGCTCAGTCTGTAGGCTTGTGTTGCTCATTTCTTGGGGAGGGAGCTGTTAGTGGAGAGGGCTGATGGGATGGGGCAGCAGGTTTGCTTAACACCCACCCCAGACCTGTAAGGGCTTTTGAAGGAAGGTGTTTAGGGGAGGCTGTGCTGATTTGCACAGTGGGCTCTCTTGGGACAGATCAGCAAGAATCAGATTAAGAATTACAGAAGAGGTCTAAATTCCAGCTATTGCTTCAGGGGAGCCAATTTTCCTTTCCCTGGGCATCAGTTTCTTCTGTCAAAAATGGGAATATGAATTGCTGCCAACATTAAAGGTGACAATGGCCTTGATTTGTTTTGTGATCTGAAAAGAAAAGAGGGCCCTATGGCTTGGGGATATAAACACGAATTTTGGGTGAAGCCAGCCTGAGTTCAGATGCTGTATCAGTTACTGTTTGGGGGCTCTGCTTTCCTCCATTTTAAGATGAGCATAAGAGGGTCCTGCCTGCACAGGCACAGGACTGCCCTCTTGGTTGTTATTGTTGGGTTGATACTTAGTTTTGTGATGCTGGGGATGGAATGTGGAACCTTTGGCCTGCTAGGCAAGTGTGTCAACCCTGTGCTGTACCCCAGCCCTAGACTGTTATTCTTACTGCTAAAGAGTTCTGCAACATGGACAAGCCATCAATGACTGTTTCCGTTGACAAAGTCACCTCTAACCCTCACTTGCAGAACAGGGAGTCCAGTGCCTGTTTCTCTTGTGAGGTGGAGGTCAGTGGAGGGAAGGCAAATGAAAATGACTGACTTCTCACCATAGTTTCTGTTTGCAAAGGAACTTTGCCCCAGTGATGAGAGTAGACCCTGAGAAAGTCCCCAGCAACTTGTGATTTTAGTGGAAGTGTAACCAATTTAATTTTTCAGTCATTTATGCGGAGTGGAGTGACTCGTATATTTCAGGGTACAAGAGCTTTGACCATCCCTAAAGCAGAGAAGCTCCCAGTCTAAAAGGGAAAGTGAACCATGTTTGAGATTAGGATAAGAGGTAAAATCAACCCACTTATTTTGAGATGGAGCAGAGTTATGCATTCACTTATTTCAGAGGCACTGGGATAGACTATGGAAAGGTGGCTCTTAATTTGCTGTGATTTTGTCACTTAGGTGATGTTTAAGTCATGTCTGGAGGCATTCTTGGATGTCTCAGCTAAGGGATACTGCAGAACACTCTGCAATGCACAGTCACTATAACAACAAACCAGCTGGCCAAGACATCTATAGCACTGAGGGCTCAACAAGCCTTGCTTGCAAAAGTGGTAGTAGCCGCATAGATATATAATCCCTGACATTTTGAAATGTCCAGTCTGGTGGACATGCTGGCATTGCAGAAAGGACTGTGTAATAGTCACAATTGCATGAATTGTCATGATGTGCTGAGCCAGTGATGGCCTTCTGCAGTCTTTCTAGTCTAACACATGACCCAATCTCTAAGGGTTCAGAGGTGGAGGGGAAGGGTGTCATTGCAAGGCTGGCTGCCAGGAAAAGACTAAGCCTTGGGGGATCTTGGAGAAGCTTCCAGAGGTGGGGAGATGCTAAGAAGCCTTTTCCATCTTCTGGTTTGAGGAACTGCAGCTCCTACTGTGTTGTAGTGTGGAGACTGAAAAGACCAGGTTAGTTATGGGAGGGAGAATAGAGGCCATTGCTGTCCGGGACTGTTCTGTGGCTGAAGCCTACATGCTGGCCCTTCTTCGTATTACATCCTCTAATAGGTGAGGAGAGAAAGAGAGAAGAGGAAGAACATTTTTCATGTCAAGCACAAAGAGGAGTAGGGATGGGAAGCAATCTTATGTGTGATACCTTTGAGACAGCACAGAAAATCCCCACTGTGGCTCAAAATAGCACTAAAAACAGAGGGTTTGCCAAATCAGACTTAGCATAATGTTGACAGAGCTGGCTTTGTTCCCTTGGGGTGATAGCTGTCTCCAGGGCAGAATGGGAGCTTAGGGACCTTAGGTGGGGTGGTCATGGCCTTTACCTGAAGTTTCCAGAGGTCAGAGATGGGAAGAAGGAATGAAATACCAGCAGACAGAGCCAGTTGGTGAAGGTAAAGGCAAGGGAGGTTTGAGTCCTCTTACAGTGAAGGCCTGTTTGTTGAGATGCTGAAAGTGATGGTCAGGAGAAGCTATGATCTAATCTGTGCCTGTTTTGTGTCAGCTATTGGGTGATCCTCTGTAAGCTTTATTAACTGTTTTGTGTGGATTATCAAGGAAACTAAAACTGGTGGGCACAATATTTTCATCCTGGAAGTGGCCATAGGGGTTAAACTCAGCCTGGAAGGGAAAGAGAGGCCTCAGGGAGGTAAGGACCCGCCCTGGGCCACCCAGCTTGGCAGGGTGCAATAAAAGAGCTCTGGTGGAGAAGCTGGGCCAGATTGCCTATCTCTGTGCTATATCAGTGTCGAATTTCTTTATTTGAATGAGGAGAGAGGGCAGCCTCCCTCTGCAGGTAGAGAAGGTGGTGTGGAATGCGGCTGTTTGTTTTTCTTTGCCTGTGAAAGCCTTTTTTCAGCTCACATTGACTGTGCAGGGTTTCTGAGACATAAGACACTCTCTGGGGGTGTCTGGCTGAGGTGGGCATTGAGAGGGCACTCACCAAATGAATGTGGGAATTGGGAAACAGCGTCATCCTTCTGCCTGCTCCAGTGAGGCCTCCTGGTCCCCTTCATCTCTGTAGGTTGCTTGGAAAGCCAGGGCAACCTTCTTGACAAACAAATCTTGTTCTCATGGAGAAGGGAAGGCTGACTGAGCTTATCTGCTCTCCTCCCCCTACCCAGGCATCTCCCCATCCAGCTTGCACCCTATATTCTGAGACACCTTGAGGGGCTCCAGTGTCATTGTCATTTGTTAAACCATGAAACTGAGAGCCCCTTGTACTAGGAGGTGGATTCGAGGAATGAGGGGTGATCATGAAGCAGGGCTTTCTGCAATGGCTGCCCCTCTTTTCCTTCGGCCCCTCCTCTTTAGTCCGCTGGCGCTGAGAGAGGAAGCCCTGCCGGCAGGTAGCAGAGAAAAAGACACTGGATCCAGGGGGGAGTCGCAGTGAAAGCAAACAAACAGGCCTTTGTGTGGTTTCAGATTGGCGGCCCAGAAGGGAAGCCAGGTCTGTGGTAGGCCAGAGAGGGAGGAGGTATGGAAGGTCGGGCCTTTGCTTCTAGCCTTAGTTGGGCTGTCGACAGCCCCAGCTGGGTGATAAGGCCCATTCCTGTAGATAGGCAAAGCTTGGACACTGCCACTTGACTTCTGAACACATCTAACGAATTTACTCCCTGGAGTAAATTACACCTCAGTAGTGTAATGGAGCCTAGCCAGTGCGGGGCTCCCATCCCACTTTGCTGCCTGTGGCTTCTAGAAAGAAGTGGAGTAGTAGGGAGAGAATCATGGCCTCCTGAGAGGACAGACTTTTCAGAGCCAGGAACACGGCGGGGATTTAAGAGGGGGAGACACCCCTGCGGAGGGGGAAGCAGGTTTACTGTGCAGTGACAGGCAGTGGGGGTCAGCAGACAAGAGATCGCGGACCCCCAGGTCAGGGAGCCAAATTGTCCCACCACTTGTGCAGGCCGCCGGGTTGGGGGCATAAGGCACGAAGACAGACTTCCCCGCAGAGAGAGTGGGAGGGCATCTTGGGTAGCAGTGGTAGTGGAGTCGTATTCATTATCCTAGTGAGGACACCCACGCGCCAGCCAACCTCCTCCAGGGGGCTCAGGCCAGGACTCAAGTCCACGGAGGTACGGTCCGGCCAGACGATCAGGTAGCTGCGTGGTTGCTCCGGGGCCATTTCCTCTCCTCTCCACGACCTCGAAACCGGCGGCGGGAGGGCAGTCGCCCGCGCTTCCTGCCCGCCTGCCCCGGCGCCCTCCTAGGCGGCGTTCCACCCGGGAGGTGCTTGGGGCGGGGCGGGTCGGGCACTGCGTCGCCATGGCAGCGCCTGGCCCATCATGCTCCGCGCTGCTGGGACCAGGAGCCAAAGCCCCTCCTCTGGCAGAGCCGGGCCCCTTTCCGGGAACGCTAAACCGGAGGCGTGGCTTCCAGACCTACGACTGTACTCCCGGCCTGGGTGCTGCATTCTACCTCAGAGGAGGGATACCGCTCCCGCCCCCCTGGGGCCACAACTCGTTGTTTCTTTGCGTGTTCCCTCGAGGACGAGGAACGGGGAGTGCACAGACACTCTTCTGCCCCGGCAATTCTGGGCCTCAGCAGAGCCCAGCGCTTGGCCGGGAAGCGCTTTCTTACCTTCTGAGCCCGGCCCCCATCTCCTGCCTTGGGGAAACCTCATCTTCAACTTTGTTTGCCAGATTTTCCCCCCTGTAACGCTGCCATTTCTCCGCATGCTTTGAACCCTTAACTTCACGCTCCAAATCTGCTTTCCTTTCTCTAGTCCAGTAAGAGGCTTCTGCCCCTTCTGCCTGTACAGAGCAAGCAGCTAAATTTAATACTGGTCTTTGAGTCTTAGCAGGAAGACTGTTTCTCCAGCAGCTGGACTCTGCCTTTCTTCGTCTTCCTTCATCCAGGGCACACACTGGAGAATAAAAGTAGGTTGTTTTGGAAACGAGAGGATGCAATCTTGATATATCATACCTAGACCAGTAGTTGTGGTGCACACCTTTACTGCCCGAACTAAGGAAGTTGAGGTTGGGAGGCTAGCAAGATTGAGGTTAGCCTGGGCTATGTAATGAAGCAGTCCTGTGTTTGGGAAAAAAACAAAACAAAACAACAGTAACAAAAAAACTTTTCCCAATCTTAAGTAATTTTTCAAATGGTGTTATCAGACTGCTAGTATGTTGACTGAAGAGAAGTACAAAAGCAGGAGAACCAGGTCCACACATGCCTGTCATCCCAGCTCCTTGAGTGCAGAAGGAAGACCCTTTGATCCCAGGACTTCAGGACTCGCCTGTGCAACATACCAAAACCCTCATCTCAAAAAACTAATAGGACTAGTGAGATGGTTTAGGAGGTGAAAGGGCCTGCTGCCAAGCCTGATCACCTGAGTTGAGTTATGGTTGAAGAAGACTGACTCTGGCAAGTTTTCCTCTGACCATCCCCCCATGCACAGGAAATAAGTGTGTGTGTGTGTGTGTGTGTGTGTGTGGTAAATCCTGCCAGTCTGTAGCCAGTGCTGACATGCTTTCCATAGATGTGAATATGAGAAACAAATATGGGATGAGCACAATAAATGCAAAGAATGAAGGAGTCTTGCTGTATATTTGAACTTGTAAGGCACTTGGTGTTTTTAGTAGCTTTTCCCCCTTGCTGTAAAAGGAGGACAAGCTTATTATAGAACTTTTGGGAAATATGACAAGTTTAAAGGAAGACCAGACCCATGCTCTGGTCTCTATAGGTAGCTGTTTTGCCCATCATAGGGTCATCCCTGCCAGGTCTGTTCATTTGGGTATACCACCACTCCTGTAGGTACATGAGGTACATGCTCTGCCTTTATCATGTAATGTTATACAAGGTATCCTTTATCCTGTGCATCTATGGGGGACCCTGAATGGGGAGTCTCAAACTTAGGAGAGCTGGCAATCTGTTGGGCTACTCAGGAGCCACTCTGCTTATCTCTCTGTCCACAAACCCCTTGGCAGATCCCTCTTGCTCCCCTTAATCTCTTCTAACAAGTGTTTTGGACCAAGAGTCTTTTCTTGTAAGAGGCGGAGGAAGCCAACTATTCTGTACAGGAAAACAGAAGGCTCTTCACCCATGCTGAGCCCTGTTGGTTTGGCCAGTCATGCAAGGCAGGAAAGGGTCAGACCTAGCCTCCCCAGAGCCAGTTCAAGGCAGCCTGGTCTACAGAGTGAGTTCCAGGACAGTCTGGGCCAAACAGAGAAATTCTATCTTGAAAAATACAAAACAAAACAGTTCCTCATGTGGTGCCCCATAACCATAAAATGTATTTTCATTGCTACTTCATAACTAATTTTGCTACCATTATGAATTGTACTGTATATATCTGTGCTTTTTGATGGCAACCCCTGTGAAAGGATTGTTCAATCCCCAAAGGGGTCAGGACCCACAGGTTAAGAACCACTAAGTTATTTATTGGGTTTGCCACTGTGTCCAACTAGGTCAATGTTGGCAGTGGGTGTGTGTGATGGCTGTTCTTGGTTATCACCTTGACTACATCTAGAATTAACTAAAACTCAAGCACCTGTAAGGAATTTTCCTTAATTAAATAATCTGAAATGGGAAGACCCACCTTTAATCCAGACCTTCTCAGGTGGGATGATCCAACTATAATCTGGGCCACACCTTCTAGTGGCTGCCTGTATAAAGGACATGGGAGAAGGAAGCTTGCTCTCTTTGCCTGCTTGCTCTCACTCTGCTGGTAAGTCCAGTCATTCACAGGCATTGGAGCCTACTTCCTCAAGATTCCAGCATACAATGAACTAAAAAACTACTAGATTCTTGGAATTTCCATTGGTAGACAGCCATTGGACTAGCTAGACCACAGTAAGTCACTCTAATAAAATCACAAACACACACACATATGCTTCTCTCTCTCCCTCCCTCTCTCTTCCTCTCCCTCCCTCTCCCTCCCTCTCCCTCTCTCTCCCTCCCTCCCTCCCCCTTCTCTCTCCCTCTCTCCCTCCCTCCCCTCCCCCTCCTCTCTCTGTCAT